AGATAAGTTGATGGCTAGTCAGATAGATAGATAGATTGATAGCTTGTTAGATGGCTAGTCAGATAGATAGTCAGGTAGATAGATGGCTAGTCACATAGAGGGCATAGATTGATGACTAGTTAGGTCGATATTTGGCCAGTCAGATAGATAGTCAGAAAAATTAATAGATAGTTATATAGACTGATGGCTAGCCAGATAATCAAGTAAGTTGATGGATAATCAGATGGTTAGATAGATTGATAGCTAGTTAGGTCAATGGCTAGTCAGATAGATAGTCAAGTAGATAGATGGCTAGTCAGATAAATTGATGGCTAGTGAGACAGACGAATGGCTAGCACAGCCCTACCCTTATCTTGCAGATCTGCTAGCAGTTGCTGGTACGGCACTTATGTGTCAAAAGAGATGATAGTTACTGCTGTGAATCACGGATCATAAAATGGTTTGCGGGAATCAAATCCAGAGATTTCGCGCTTTCTAATGATGTATTGCATCACTGTACTGCTGGTTGATTTGATGCATAAAATGGTGTATAAAAACCCCAAAGTGAGCGACGGAAGTGTTGTGCTGTGGTATAGAAAAGGTTTCTTGCGTTCCCCATCTCTCCCACTGATCATCTCAGCCTGGTTTAGTTTCCAGTCCCACTGCAGAACTTGTAAAAACTTGACTTTTAAAAGCCCTTTATTTGACTGTTTCTTTCTTTCACAAGAGCGAGAACTTCAGAAGAAGCAGCCTGGCTAAGTCAGTCATGACCATTAAGGCACTGAGATGCTAACGCATCATCATATTAAAGCGCGACTCTAATCCTCTCCTACAAAGCCGTCTCCTTTCAAAGCTTCTTCAGGCCTTTTGTTTATGAGTAACAAATACATTCAGGGGGTTTAGAACATTCCTAACAGCGTCCACATCGGTGCACTCCACTAATAATTTGTGAGGCTTCTGGAAAATGTGTGTTCAGTTTTTCTCTTTGCCCAGGTTTAGTCGCTCAGCCAAGTTTGTTTAATGTCCAAAGTTGTGTGCATGAGCTCTGAGACTGATACAGCTAACAGGTAAACTGGTTAGCATTGAACAGACTGCCTAAATCATTACAAACTAGCCTCAAACCGTGTTGCTGCTGCTACTCTTTTTAGCAGTAGGGAACCTCCTTCAGGAGCTAAACTGAAAGTCTAAGGTGTCAGATTAACCAGCAACATAATTAGGAACTTCTGGAAGTTCTAGATACGTCACTGACCACACAATGGGATGTTAGCTAGTCTATGTTTAATCTAGAACAGCCAAAAAATGTTTTTGTGAATCACCATTAGCTTAGTGCTAACATGCTACTGAAATCCCATAGTGGCATTAGCAGAAATTAGCATGTTGGTCGAGGTGTTTTTTTCCTAATTTTTTGAGCAAGTTTTAACATTTATGGCTGAAGGCCTAGCTCTAAAAGCCATGGCTTGTCACTAGTTTTTAGCTATGCTAACATACTTTTATCATTTTTTTCTCACAGAACAACATTGGTAAATTTATATTCATTCATATGTGCTCATACAATGTCAGAAACCTCATCAGCAAATCCATTTGTGATTATTTAACAAGGCTAGTGTGTGATGATTTAAGCATCATGATGCTAATTAGTGGAGTATAAGCTTCAATTACAACCACAAATCAGAAAAAGTTGGCACATTATTGGATGTTTACCTCATGAATTTTGTCTTTTTTTCAAAATAAATACTCATTTCAATTTTCATTCTCGCAACATATTTCAAGATACATTTTCTACTGGGGCCAGGTCAGGACTGCAGACAGGCGGGCCAGCACCCACACCCTCTTCTTCCTGGGCATCCCTGGAAAAAATGTCCGTCATGAAGGCAGCATATGTTGCTCCAAAATCTCTATTTAGTTTTTCGGCATTAATGGTGCCATCATAGAATTGTAAGATACCTTTGCCAAGGGCACTGACACAACCCCCCACACCATGATACATTTGGTTGCTGATAACAGTCTGGATGGTCCTTTTTGTCTTTGATCTGGAGCACACTGCTTCCGTTTCTTCCAGAAATACTGATTCATCTGACTACAGTACATGTTTCCACTGTGTTATGGTCTCAGATGCCTCCAAGCCCAGAGAAGTCAGCAGTGTTTCTGGACACAGTTAACATAAGGCTTCCTTTGGGCACAGTAAAGTTTTAACTGGCATTTATGGATGTAACTATGTATTGTCATGCTTGACAAAGGTTTGCCAAAATAATCCTGAGCCCATGTGGTTATATCTCTTACAGATGAATGACAGTTCTTGATGCAGTGCCGTCTGAGGGATCGGAGAGCACAGTTGTTCAGCTTTACGCACTGAAATTCCTCCAGATTCATTTTGTCTTATGTGCAGTAGAGGGTGAAATATCCAAATCCCTCCTTATCTTTTCTTGCAAAACGTTGTTTTTGAACATTTCAATAATTTTCTCACGCATTTTTTGGCAAACTAGTAACTCCTGGCTCATCTGTGCTCCTAAAGGACTAGGCCTGGATGCTGCTTTTGTGCTGAATCATGATTGCAGTCAACCTGAAACAGTCACATCAAGTCACATCATTATTTAATTATTTTAGTTCATTATTAGCCCTAAATTGCCCCCATTACAACTTTTTTTTGGAATGTGTTGCAGGCCTGAATGGCAGGAATGGATATAAGTTGACCAGACAAAACATGAAATATCTTATGTTCATAGTGTTGGAAATAAATCCTTTCTTTTTTTATTTGCGTTTTCCATCCCGTCCCAACTTTTTTGATTTGGGGTTGTAGTTGTTGGCTACGTTAGTCTTGTGGCTCTAGTGTAGAACTAGAGGAGCAAACCTGTCTTGGCTGATTAGTGGCTGCTGTACATTGTATGATCTAAACAACTCTGGTCTTCAGTCACCTTTTATAGCGCATGATTTGTTCCCCAATGTTCTAGAAAAATGTACAGCTATTCATTCAGATGATTTACAGAACATAATTGCCCACAAATGTTGTATGGTGGCAGCAACAGTGGAGTCAGTGGCTACCAGGTCAGATCGTAGTGGTCACTGGAGAGAGAGTGTGTTTGCGGTCAGTTGGCCAAACTGATGGGGTCAGAAGGACAGGGGAGGGAAGGGGTCACGGAGGCTGTTGATGTTAGATGTTGATGTTAGAGTCAGTGTCCTACAGCGGTTCAGACTCAGCCCGCAGATGAGACACTAGAGAGAGAGAGAGAGAGAGAGAGAGAGGTGTTGCAGTAAGGCAGTGTAACTCCCTCTGGACCTCTTTCTGTACAGTACTGTCTCCTTCTGTTGTCTGTTTCTCTCTACTGCACTCTCTCTCTCTCTCTCTCTCTCTCTCTCTCTCTCTCTCTCTCTCTCTCTCCCTTTGTTTACTCTCTCTTTGCCTGTTTTTCTTTCTTTATATTCTCCTTCTCCTTTCTTTCTTTATATTCTTTCTGATCTTTCTCTTTCTCTCCATCTATCTTCCTTTGTTTACTCTCTCTCTTGCTCTGCTTGTTTTATTTTTTTATAATCTTTCTCTCTTTTCTTTCTCGATACTCTTCTTCTCTCTCTCTTTTTCTCCATCTCTCCCTTTGTTTACCCTCTTTGCATGTTTTTCTTTCTTTATATTCTCTCTTTTCTTTCTTTATATAATCTCTCCTTTCTTTCTCTTCTTCTCTCTCCCTTTGTTTACTCTCTCTCTCTGCTTGTTTTATTTCTTTGTATTCTCTCTCTCTCCTTTCTTTCTTTATGTTCTCTCTCTTCTCTTTCTCTTTCTTTCCATCTCTCTCCCTTTGTTTACTCTCTCTCCCTCTCTCTGCTTGTTTTTCTTTTTTATATTCTCTCTCCTTTCTTTATATGCTCTCTTCTTTCTTTCTTTCCATCTCTCTCCTTTTGTCTACTCTTTCTGCTTGTTTCTTTCTTTCTTTATATTCTCTCTCTCTCTCTCTCTCTCTCTCTCTCTCTCTCTCTCTCTCTCTCTCAGAATGGTGACATACATCATTAATAAGGAAGCGGTCTCTTTTCTTCTTATCGATGGGAACCGTTTTGCGGATGCTTCCTCAGACAGCTCAGTTAATAACGGCTCACAGCTCCTCTAATTCACCTCTCTCTCTCACACACACTTGCTCATCCCTCTCTCTCTCTCATTCTCTCTCTCTCACTTGCTTACAATGACTCTGAACCTTCTTTTTTCTACTTCACCTCTGCCTCATCTCCGCACCCAATCTGTCCATCTTCTCAAGGCTGCTGTCCAACAAAATCTCTCTCTCTCTCCCTCTCTCCCTCTCTTTCTTTGTCTTTGTTTATCTCTTTCTCTCCTGACATTGAGCACAGTGTGATCTTGACTGTTTGCCCTTCAGAGTTGTAATTATTGCAGAGTGATAACAGAAGCATTCTTTAATAGCAGTACTTGTTTGTAGCTCATTGTAAAAGCTGGATTAATCATGTGGAATTGCAGATTTTAACCTTTCAATCCAAACCACATTTGTGTTAGTAAGTAAAAATGGATAGTAATTAAAACATTTTTGACATATTTGTCATTTTTTAACATGGAGACAAATCAAAAGATGTCAGGACTGCAGACTCGAACCTGCCAACACAGAATTTAAGTCGTATATAAAAACAATCAATATACAGCTAATTATGTGCTTAATGATGTAGTTCTGTAACATGTTTAAATAATTATGTGCAGCACTGTACAAAAGTCAGTTTCCAGTCAAAGCAGCGTACAAGTTATTAATTTCAAAATCAGAAGATATTTCTGAGGACATTAGATATAAGATAATCCAGTAAGATAAAACATAAATAATAGATGATAATAATAATAATAATAATAATAATAATAATAAATAAATAGTTTTCAAAACTGGAGTTTTAAAAAAATTATTCAAAGCTACAGAGAAAATGGGATTCCTAACAACCACCTGGAAGACCTGGTAGACAAGGCAATTTAGTTTGAAATCATCTAAAAACTTAATTATTAGCATTTTAAATCTGAAAATTCTGTCTTGTTCTCTACCCATCAGAGGCTATGATGACCCCATCGAGGCGGAGCTGATTGACGAGAGGCACCCCTACATCCCGGGCATGTACTCTGCACCCCTGGCTCAGCCGGAGAGGGGGAGCATGGCCAGTCTGGACCGCATGGGCGGCCGCCGCTCGCCCTCCATCGACAGCATCCGCAAGGACCCGAGGTGGCGCGACCCGGACCTGCCCGAGGTCATCGCCATGCTGGGCCACCCCATCGACCCGGTCAAGTCCAATGCTGCCGCCTACCTGCAGCACCTGTGCTACGAGAATGACAAGATCAAGAAGGATGTTCGGCAACTGAAGGGCATCCCCGTGCTGGTGGGCCTGCTGGACCACCCCAAAGCCGAGGTGCACCGCAAGGCCTGCGGAGCCCTCCGCAACATCTCCTACGGCAAAGACAATGACAACAAGGTGGCCATCAAGAACTGTGACGGCATCCCTGCCCTCATCCGCCTGCTGAGGAAGACCAACGACATGGAGGTCCGAGAACTGGTCACAGGTACGCCGTCTTGTTCTGGACTCAGTTGCACAAAGCGTTCTTGATTAGCCAAGTATTTTAAGCCTAAAGTCAAAATGAGCAATGCGGGAATGTCACAACAGGCGCCTCAACTTCATCCTCGTCTGGTGGACAAAGATCTTTTTATTATTATTTGATATTGTTTTTATTACCATATAATCTGTTCTTTTCAGACAGTTTGGTATGGACATACTTTTCTTAACATCAGGCGTCGGACAGACCAAGTCAGCCTTCTTTCAGTGGAAGAGGGGAAAAAAAGATACACAATTCCATCAAAATTTTGTGGCTGCAGTGTTTACAGGATTTTTTTCACTCAAGTTGAATCCCCCACCAGAAGACATAATAGACTAAATAGAAGAAGAAGAAAAAAACAAACAAAAATAGCAACAGGAGATTTTCTCCTGCTGGCAACATTGTTTCACTGAGAACAGCAGATTTCTCAGAGCAGCATTACCCAGTAGCTTGAACACCCAGCTTCGGGCCACCAATAGTGATTCCCTTTAAGATCTTGAGAACACGTTGAATTTCAGTCCAAATTCCAGCAGGGCTTTTTCACCCAGAGGTGCCCACCAAGCAGCAGCTGATAGCTCATCCCGCTTCTAGGCTTTGACGCTGCTCTGCTGCTCTTTTTCTAGGGCATGCCTAAAAACGGCAGTCCTCTGGGGCCTCTCCTGCATTTCTGCTCGTAATTCCTAAATCCTGTATTATTCCGACTGTTGCGTGCTGGCTTAGTCAGGAAGCTCCACGCTAATACCAGGCTGGAGGCTTCGTGAAGAGCCTGCCATGTTGGGAAATGGTTATTTTCAGCCGGATTTGCTTATTCTGGGTCTTGCAGGACACAGTGTTCACTTAATGAAATAGTTTAGTAAAAAATCAGTTTATAGACATATAAGACATCTTTGGTGTCTGAAATTGACCTTTTTGCACTGGAGCTATGAGGCTAATGTAGCCAACAAGTAATGGAAGCCTATGCCTCTCCAGTTAGCATCATGCAAGGCTAAAGTTTCACACACGTGCCTCAAACCGTGTGAAGTTCTTTAGTACACTCAATCAGACTTGCTTATGTTGTTTCTGACACTGTGTCATAGTGTTATCTACAAATATGGACAACAGTACAGATTAAACTCAGGCTACAAGCTATGCTAACGTCCTGTTCAAACACAGTTTAAAGTATGCAGCTTGCTGCATGCTATCTATATTATGCTATATACGTTTCTATTACTTGTTAGCTACATTAGTCTAAATTAAGGCCCAGTGTTTTCTGGGAAATAACATCTGTAATTTTTAGTTCGTTTTTATCCAATACAGTCATGTTATTGACTATTTAAACAGTGCACATACTACAGTACTACTCCTATTTTGTTTTTAAGTGTTGGATGGAAATAATAGGGTTAAATTCTTGAGATTCCCAATGGAAAATGATCCAATCAGAATTTTTTTCTACATAGTCTCTGGTTTTATAGGAGCTAAACCGAAGGTCTAATGTGTAGCAAACCAACATCATTAGGAGTCTGAGTGGAATCAACCAACTCAAGGTACACTCAAGGATAAAACTGCTGCAAACAAGCTCAAATATACATTGTGGTTCACAAGCTGCAAATAAAATGTAGAATGTCTTTTTAAGCTTTAAATGGCCGTGTTAATGTAGAATGGCTAAAATGTTATTGTGCATCAGCATTAGTTTGGTGCTAACATACTTCCCATAGGGGTGCTAGCAGAAATTGGCTTTATTGTAGATTTTAGTTTTTTCCTCGCTTTTTGACATTTTGATCAAATCGAAGGCCAAGCTGTAATAGTCACAAGTTACCTTTGCAAACATGTCTAGGCTGATTTACTACTTTTGGGATAAAAGGGTAAACTCTGCAAATTTGAATTCTGCTGACCCATTTGTAATTTGCACACCTCAGTTCTTTTGGGCAATTCCACTAATTCTGGACCAGCTGTTTGGAGAGCCCAGCCCACTTAAATCCCGGTGTTGACCTGCTAAATGTCAGTAGGAGAGTACAATGGGGTTTTGTGTCCCTGCGGTCGGAGCTTTTATCCGCTTCCCTGATCTGCCTGACCTGGCACACATTTACTGGAATGCTGGGAATCCGGTAAGGAGGTTTGGTTCAGTTTTACAGTAGAACTGCTAAACCTCAGGACCACAGGGATATGTTAGCACGGGAGGGATAAAGGTTTTAAACTGTCCATTGATTTAAGAGTGTCCCAAAGTGACTTATATTGGATTACAAGTTGCTCTAGGAACGTCTGTGTTTTGCTCAGTGGCACAAAGGCCATCAACTGGGATCAAGTCAGTGACCTCCGGAGCCATAGCAAACATCACTGGGTGCTAGGCTTCCTCCCCCCTGGTAAAGCTATGAAGGAACCACACACCACTGAGCAAGAACAAGGGATCACACACATCCCCACAGCAGAAAAAACAGGGAAATGGGGAGGTGGACATCGGTGTTAGATCTGTCTGCAAAAAATCTGTCTGCTAATTTAAGGCAAGCAGTGTCTTTTGCCTCTTGCCTATATCGGCAGAAGCAATAGTGGATTTACTTGGCCATGATGATTGGTTGGTGGGGTGCTGGCCCATTAAATGACCCACTGATGCAGGGCCTGTTAAGGAGCGTTAAAATTCCGCTTTGTCTCTGCAGTATTTCCCAGCAAGTGATATTCCATTTGAAGAAAATTCTCAGCATCTTCCGTGCAGCTTAAGGAGTTAAATTATGAAAATAATTCTGAAAGTAATATAATAGTTCATGGTTTCCCACAGGCATCTAAAGCTGAACTCATGTGCTAGAAAACATCTTGTTTTTAATATATGAAGCATGTGATCAAGTCTTTGGAACTCACCCATTTGCGCATGTTTAGCAGTCTGAACACTGGGGGTGCTATTAGAACACAAGTCAGTTTTATATGCATCATTTAAAGACAAGACACAGTCATGAACCCACACCACCAGGAGCTCCCAAATGGTGTGCTTGCAGTCTTTTAAAACAAGTAGTGAAACAGTTTATCATCAAATGATGTTGATGTTACTCAGTATTATATTACGTAATATGTCATTTCCATTAAATATTTTCATTAAATCAGTTAAAAAGCAAATAAGATAAACATAACATAGAAAGTAGTTCTACGGTGCAGCAGACTGTATGCGTGTGTCAGTGTGTGGGGGGCTAGGGGGAGGCAATATAATTGTTAATCCCAATTGTTAAATTTTTTAGATATCGCCCAAGTCTACAGAGAAACTACTCTGGATGTGAGATGCAGGTATTATAACAAAATTCAAGCCATCGAAAATGGGTTAAATTATCCACTTTCTTTGGCTTTCACTGTTAGATGGCAGATTTTAAACAGTTTTAGTTGATTTTCCATAATCCTTAACTCAAACCTCTGAAGTTCAAAATGACAGAAGTCCTTAATCCTATCTGCCTTTTGAAACAGACTGTGAAGATCTTGGAGCATTGGCTCATATTGACGCACAGATGTGGCATCTTATGGAGATATGGTAAGAACTTGATCTAGCAGCAGTTTTTGCCATGTTCAAATGAGCATAGTTCAGTGGAGAAGATGGAAACTGATCCAGCAACAGTACTCTGAGCTTCTCCATCAACCCTTAGAGCTGCTGGTGTGGATGTTCTGAAGGGTGGCCGTTCCTCTGCTCCTACAAATCACTTACAGTGATTACAGTACAACAGGCCTTTCAGTCCGGGCTAAAAATAGCTCACTCCCCACAAACAGAAGGGCCCGGCGTCTCCAGGCTTCAGCCTCAGTCCCAGATGACCATATGGTTTTAGCTCACAAGGCCCCTATGAAAACAAAACCCCTTATAACATTTCTGTACGGCAGCCTATGAAACCAGGCATGCCGTGCCACAATTAAAAATAATTGCAGGTTTTTAAAAATAGACCAAGTCCAGTGGTCATGCATAGCTGAAGCTTTTTCGTTCTGTTCCCTGAAAAAGCCTAGGCAGCAGACTTTCCCTCTGAGGGCCGACGGGATGCAAGAGGTTCTTCTTGCTTTAGAAAATAGTTTTAGTAGCTGATCTCTCCATTGGTGCTGAAATTGCAGGTGTTACTTAGACGAGGGATGGTGTGGATTGAATATACAGCTATCCAGATTCATCTTAGTGTTGATTTACTTAGTTGGGTGTTTGTAGTATAGAATAAGTCCCAGGTGGTTGCTAAGGTGTTGCTAGGCTGTTCCGAGGTGTTTACTAAGGTATGCTAGACCATTACTATTTTATTCCAGGTGGTTGCTAAAGTTTTGCTAGGTTGTTGATAAGGTATCCCAGGTGTTTACTAAGGTATTGTTAGGCCATTGCTTTGGTATCCCAAGTAGCTGCTAAGGGGTTGTTAGGCTATTGCTTTGTTGGCCCAGGTGGTTGATAAGGCATTACTTGGTCATTGCTGTGGTGTCCCAGATGGTTGCTAAGATGTTGCTAGGCTGTTCCAAGGTGTTGCTAATGTATTGCTAGGCCATTCTATATTAATCCCAGGTGGTTGCTAAAGTTTTGGTAGGCTGTTGATATGGTATCCTAGGTGGTTACGAGGGTGTTGCTAAACCATTGCAATGGTATCCCAGGTGTTTGCTAATATGTGTACTTATAGATGTGCTAGTTGGTATGTAATGTCTATGGGAGCAGTATGAAAGACACTTGTGACATTGTGGCAGTTACAGAGAATTTTCTCTGCATTCCACCATTCATTTACTATAAGACAAAAACTGCTTTCAAGGCTCTGGCTTAAAAACCATGATCCATGAAAACAGTACTTTGTCAAACCAACGTAAAATTTTAATTTAAATAAAGTTTTTAAATAAGTACTTTGAGTTTTTGACTGAGCTTACAACATCGAACCGAACAGAATGTTGAGACACAAGCATTATATTGCATCTGACAATAAGCAATATAGAAACATCTAAGTGATTCCATATATGAAAATAAACCCGAAAAACAAATACGTGAAGTTGGGTGACTCCAAGTTGTCTTTCTGTAGGCCAACTAGTAGAACGTAAGTACAGACAGGTGATAAATTAAGGTGTACTTCATGATATTTTTATACAGTTAACATCCTACTGTTCTCTGTAGCACGTATAAAATGCTGAGCAGACCCAGTTGTCCTTGATTTTGGATTAAGAGGAAAAGATACATCTTTGAAAGAGGGATTATTGGGGCATGGATAGCAGATGCTTCAATTTCAATAGGAACAGTGACAAAAGTGACATGTGCCTTTAGATATATGGGAAAGACATCAGTATGTTCTGTTAGAAATTGTGAAAAAATCATATTTTCAATGACTGTGATGGTCACGCATTATGGACATGTAAAAGAAACTGTCGGCAGGTGACTGAGAAGGTCAATGCAGGACGTAATCAGACTACGAGCAAGAAAAGTCCATCCACAACTGCATAGAGAGGGCTATTGTAGCAGGACTGCACATAAATTTGTGGGTTGCACATAATGCACATAAACCACACCGCCCATTCCAAAGACAAATGACCATTTGACAGGTCAGTAGTGTAGAAACCATCGGCTGGTCTACAGAGATGTGGAAAATAGTGATATGGTGAGATGAGTCATCCTTCACCATATTCTCCACAGGTGGGAGAGTACATGTGCACCAAGAGAACAGTACAGGCCTGAATGCTTGACCCCTACAGTGAGGGGGTCTGGTGGGTGTGTTATGCTGTCATGGTTTGGGTCCACTTGTCTGCTTACATGGTCACTGCAAGTCAATACTGACTGGTTTCCTTAATGCTATGATGAAACATTTCTATCCTGGTCTCTACCAGGATGCCAAGACCTCCATCCACAGGAAACGAGGGGTCACTGAATGGTTTGACGAGTATGCAAATGGTGTAGATCATATGCTATGGCCTCCTTCACAGTCACCAGATCTCAAACCAGTTGAACACCATTGGAAGATTTTCATGTTGGACAGCGTTCTCCATCAACACACTATCCGAGGGAAGATCTTTTGGAAGAACCATCTGTCCAGTACGGCTACAACTTCAGAACCTTGTAGAAGCTATGGCACATTGAAACTGTTCTGGCAGAGAAATCCTAAGACATTTTATGTTAGTTTTATGTAATAATGTATATAATATGAATGTTCCAAGCCTAAACCTAAACCTAATCTTACACTCAGGAACCTAAAAGAAATGAATTTCTAGCATAAACAAATTAAACGTGGAGCTTTTGTAAAAAGCGCTCTACAAAGTCAGGACCATTTTGTTGTATTTTAGCCCTGTTTTTCTTTGATTTTCCTGCACTTTTCTCCTGAAAACGTCTGACTTGCACAAAACGTGTTTGCACAAACACCTTCTCACACCAAGTGTGGCTAAATAGGACTTTTCCGCTCACCGAGTGATTGATGGCAGAGGAACAGCGGGGTCATACCAGCAGCTTTAACGGAATGGCCTGTAAAAGCAGCGTGTCTTTTACTCTTTCGCAGATTGAATTAGCTTGGGAGGCTGAAGTGACGAGCAGGAAACGGTAAACCCAATAAGGCTGCACAGACACACAAAGCTCCCCCAGGCAACTGCTGCCCAATTATGTCATTGGACCTCTTCTGGATCTGATTTGAGAGGACTCTAGCAAACGGGGGAACTGAAACGAGGTGACATCAGAGAGCAGCCTGTGTTTACTGTGGGACATAAAATCATTTGTGATTCCCAGTCATCCCATAAATTCTGCACTACTTTAATCCCATCAGACCGGCTGACGTATGAATTCTCCCATCTTAAGAACATTTTCAGTTCTTAATTTTTTTTTCTTGAGAAACTAGAGATGCTGGGTGGATTTATGGATTCATGTCTCCTATTGCAGTGTATAGGGACGTACATTGAGGTTGTTTATATACTAATATCTTCTAATGTTTATTGAGATGGTTTATGACTAATATCTCCAATTCTTGTTTATTGAAGTCTTTTTTTTATGAATCAGTATTTCAAATTCTTGTGTATAGGAATGTTTATTTACTTTGTTTACAGACTAAAATCTCCTATTCTAGTGTATAGGGCTGTTTTATTGAAGTTGTTTTGTGCTAATATCTCATGTTCTGTTCTGTAAGTGTTAACAGAGATTGTTTATGGACTAATATCTCCTGTTTTAGTGTATGATGATGATTATTGAGATCATTGATTATTCACTTTTGTTTATAGACCAACATCACCTGTTCTAGTGAATAGGGTTGTTTATTAAAGTTAGGTGCTAATATCTCCTATTCCATAAAGGATAATTCAGGTTGTTTATTGATTAATATCTCCTATGCTAGGATTATGAAGTGTTATTAGGGTTGTTTATGGACCAATATCTCCTATTCTAGTCTAGTGCTATTTGTTGAAATTGTTTGTAGACTAATATCTCTTGTTCCAGTGTGTAGGAGTGCTTATTGAGGTTTTTATGGACTAATATCTCCTATTCTAGTGTATAGGAGCATTTGTCAAGGTTATTCCTTGACTATTAGCTCTTATTTTAGAGTGTGGTGTTATGGTTGCATTGTTTCACAACAGGCAGTATTTTGGGTTGGGGTGTTTTTTTTTTCGCCTTGAGCAAGACTCAGTTTCTTCATGGTCTCTCCTAGTCTTGCGTAAATATTTAGATTTACTGTTTGGCTTGATTCAGTTGGCTCCCACAAGGTTTGTTTTGGAGAAAATCAGCTTTTTCACGGATACTTTTTTATCCTCACAGTATCTAGATTGACTGTTCACAGACATGCACTGTTTCAAACAATACTAAACATCTGTCCGCATACAAGGCAATAACCATAACAACTTACTACCATGTATAATAACCAAACCAATGCAGTTTTATAAAAAGCAGTGTATCGAATTTGTTAAACTCTGCAGTGCTGATTGCCAGACAAAGTTATAGTGTTGTTTGCCAAGGAAAGTTAAACTGTGGTCCATTCTTTTGCACTATGGGTCATTAAAGGCAATGGGGTGGATTTGATTGCCCAGTGTGGGAATAATCACCCTGTTCTGGCTCCTATCCCATGGTCCAACCTCCTGGTCTTCTCACGTTACTCCAAATCTCAGCCCTGCCAGGCCCTGTCCTTAAAACCAGACCAAATGAGCTCTGAAATGTGAACCTTTACTGTCCAGGTCATGGTCAGGCTAGTCAGGCTGGTTCTGAATGGTAACTGTATTTTTCCACTACACATTTAGAAACAAGAACAGACCCAAACAGGAACCAGTGGGAGTTCCCATTGACTAGTTCTAGTCTTTGGGGGACAGCTAGAAACATCGTAACCAACAATATAGTTGTCTTTTTGGTTACTCTATGCAGTTCTAAAGTGTCTAATTTGGCTAATTTGCTATGTTTCTTGTTAGTTAGCTTAATGCATTGACTGACATGAATTGATATACTGCACTTCATTACATGGATTACTGTGTAGAATCAAGCAAAGCTAATATTTTTTACTGTCCAGTGTGAAAACGAGCAAAAACACTAGTTTATGTCATCTTAGCAAACACTTACAAAGTGGTAATTCTAAATATAGCAATCAACACATCAACATGCAATCGTATTTTACATTCTGTTGCACTTTTGGTGATGTAATAGCGCTTGGTGACTTCATCCTCACCTGGAAGAGTGAACAATTGGCTAAATTGTCATTAGCTTCTGCTGCAAATACTAGCAATGTAATAACTTTCTGTGAGGGAGTTTTAAGAGGCATTAAGAGGCATTAATCGACGTCTGGTTCCTATCACCATTACTGTGAACGACAGAGCATTTCACAGCAAACCACTCTGAATTACTTTGTTTTGTGATCAAAATTTAACTACGCTGAAATTTGGTGCAATTTGTCATGGTATGATTATAGTGCATCGTACTGGGTCCAATCTTCATTTGGTTCCCAGTGACCAGACTGAAACCATCAGCTAATGTATCATGTGTTCTGTTGTGGTGTTGTGGGTTGGGTTCAGTTTGCAAATGTAGTTCTACAGATGTGATTATCTCCAGAGACTATAGGCATGTGTTTGTACTTCTGTTTTGAGTCCAGTGCCGCAGCAGAAGATGCTGGGAGGTGCAGTATTTTTAGATTTTGAAGAGTTCCTGACCTTGTGGAGTCAGCTGGGTCAGAGTGGGAAAACAGTGACCCGGTAGAAAGGGCAATGGTGTTGTGTTCAAAACAGACTGGAATCATTACAGTGCGTCAGTCTATGCGCTGGTATTTATATTTTGGTTGTTCTGTTTTAAAACCTGCAGCTTTTATTAAAAATAGTAAAAGAGACCTGAAATTGAGGTTGTAGTTGGTTAAGACATCTTTTTCTTATATAATAGTTCTATGAACAGTCTTGACTCTATCTCTTCCTCCTATCCCAACAGGAACGTTGTGGAATCTGTCCTCCTACGAGCCTCTGAAGATGGTGATCATAAACCACGGCCTGCAGACCATGACCAATGAGGTCATCATCCCGCATTCTGGCTGGGAGCCTGAGCCCAACGAGGACTCGAAGCCTCGGGATGCAGAGTGGACCACTGTCTTCAAGAACACGTCAGGATGCTTGAGGTACGTAGCAGCTCTTTGCTGGCTAGACAGCTTAGCAATTTTCAGTCCTCAGAATGTGGAATCAGTTCCAGTGGTACCAGAATTTTGGCCCATATTCTAAATAGAGTCCTGTTCACGTTACAGTGACTTCACCTCATGGTTAAAGAAAAAGTTCACATTTGCGCAATTTTCCACTTACCCCAGATCAGCTGAGAAAAGTTTGGAGTCCAAATTTAGTATCTTTAGATTAGCACTGGAGATACAAGACTAACATTGTTGAGAAACACTAGAACGCAATAGTCACCCGAACAGCCCAAATCATGTCTGTAAAAATACATCCCTAAAACGTCTCTGAACCTGCTAAAACAGTCATCCAGATCTCCATGAAGGTTGTGCAGAAGAACTTGGCAATAATGTGAGCTTTAAAAGTGAACTAAACTTCACCGCTACCACTGTCTGCCTTCAGGGTTGTTCATTTTTATAGTTCACCGTAAGTCATACTGTGCTGTAAACCACATTGGCAAGCCTGCATGATTCTAATGAAGTGCTGGATCTGGGAGATGAAGAAGAAGGGAGAAGGTTGAGAGAGGTTTTGGTGATGTATTTTTACAGAAATGATGGTGACTAATGAGTTATAGTGTTTGTTAGCAATTTTAGCCTCGTAGCTCCAGTTCTAAACCAGAGAAGCAAAATTTGGACTCTAAACATGTCTTGGCTGATCGACTCCATCTAGGGTAAGTGGACAATTGTGTAAATTTGATTTTCCATCAGACCATTTGGCTGAGACTGGGACTAGAACTGGGACTATCCACTTTATATAAGAACTATTATTAAGGATGTTTTAAAGTAGTTTCCCCCCAGTCCTGGTTTAAGTCTTTTAATGTTGAGTATCTGCCAACATCGCTTTAGTGCTGTGAATTGTGGATGATTGTGGATGTCCGTTTACCCCTATGACTGAAGCATCAGTACAACACAATGGGGTAAAATAGGCCTAACAATGGGTCTGAGTTAGATTGGGCTTAATATAGCCAGTGCTAGTCTATTAAAATATGGCTTTGTCAGCTTTGATAAGATCTATGGTAGTTTTTAAACAAAAACTCTCAACTTCAGTCTATGATTGGACTCAACCTGCATCCAGAATGTTCCTTAAGTCAACTCAGTCAGGGATGACATTAAAATTTCAGGTCACTTTAAAGTCTTGTGGGCTTTGTATTGAATCATTTACTCCCCCTGATCCATCCTAATTCATTTCTTGAAGACCCAAAGGCACAAAGGAAGAGATCCATTTGAGCAACATTAGTGCAGAGTTATCCATTAAATCAATATGCAATGATTCGGGTCTGCAGAGGTACTAGCAGAAAGTACCAGCACTGCTTCAACACCCCCTGATCTCAAACATTGTTTAATTGAAAAAAGTTGACACTCACACATCTCGTTTCCAGAGTGGTTCTCTAAAGAACCGCACACTGGAAGGTTCTGTAAGGAACCATTTTGGAAAGGAAATGAGATATGTGAGTTTGAAGATCCTCCATATAGTGCAAACACTTGGAAGAACCCTCAATATTGGTATAAAATTGTTATATCATGTAAAGGTTCTTCTAGCCTTTAAATGGTTCTTTACACTCTCAAACTTTTTGGTTCTTTAGGGAATCACAAGTGGTTCTTCTATTGTGTCAATCAAAGAACGTTTGGGGCCTTTTTAAAAAAAAATGTGGTGTGTGAATGCACAGTTCTAGGAAACTTTTAATGGAATAGAACCTTTACATTACGTGAAACCTTTTTTAAAATTTAAAGTTCAAAATTTATTTGTTTCGTAGAACTTGTACATCCACACTCTTATTTGAGAAAAAAAACAAAGAAACAAAAAAAAGCTGCCACAAAGGGTTCTTTGGAGTGATTCTATAGAGGAACTTCCTTTGGTTCCCTAAAGAACCATGTTTAAAAAAGAGATTTCTGAGTATCAGGAATCCTTTACAGGCTTTAAGAATCTTCATATTATATAAAGGCTCCATACCAATTTAAGGTACCTTTGTTATGTGGAGATTATGTACATTTTAGAACAGGAGGTTCTCTAAAATTGTCTTTAAAGAAATCCACTAAAATGTTCTTTAAGGAACCAACGGTGATTCTTTGGCATCGCTTCAAAGAACACTTGTTCATCGGGTGGAGGTTCTTTAAAATGTAAAAAGGTTCGCATTCGCACATCTCATCAACTGGTTCTTTAAAGAACGATCCACTGAAATGTCCTTTAGGGAGCTGAAAGTGGTTCTGCTTTTGTACTGGCTCCTTTTAGGAGTGCAACAGAGAAAGCACTTCAGCCGACCTCTAACAATACCGACAGCACCGCGGCTTTGAAGCTCAGGCTTAGATGATAGATGTTATGAAGAGGTGCTGTTCCTTTTTTTCCGACATACTCATCAAGAAAATATGTACAGTTTTGTGTTTGCTTCTCCACGTTTGCTAACTAAAGGCTGAAATCGATAATCATGCCCTCGCTGCTGCTCTCTCTCTGGGTAGATGCACCCATTAGCAGGATTGTTAAAAGCAACGACTTTTCCGCGGACCTTCTGGGGGTCATTGTGGCCGTGTTGCTTTTGATTAAGATATCCAAGTCCTGAAAGGTTGTGTAATCTCCATGGTTACCCTGCGGCTTGATGCCACAGAAGGAGAGAGGGAGAGAGGCTATTCGTGCCCTTGTCCTGTCTTCTATAAAGCTGCCAGTTTTTGGTGCAGTCAAAATACAGTCTTTCTTCATTACACTGTAGATATGTACAGTGTATGTACAGATACACCTATTTCACCGTGGAACCAGGAAGGAGCACCTACACTACTCACTTTATCAGAAACCTCTCCCATATAGGGGCTGTACAGTTACAGACTGTAGCTCGTCTGAGATGCACAGTTTGTGTTAGTTATCCTCTAGTGCTTCATCAGTGGTCAGTTTCTGACTACAGATTTGCTCTTGGATGGTTTTGGATGGTGGTCCACTCTCAACTTGCACTGATGATGCTACTAGTCAGTGCTAAGAATGATCTGCTACTCAAATAATATTTGTACAATAGCGATCCTATGGTCAGAAGCTGACCAGTGATAAATGGGGGTAGACAAGCACTAATAAACAGTTTAGCAAAAGATGGTCTGTAATTGTAAATCTACAAAATGTATAATAAAATGGCCAGTTAGTGGAAGCACAAGGTGGGTGTTTCTAATAAAGGTGCCAGTAAGTGGAAGTACAAGGTGGGTGTTTCTAATAAAGTGGACAGTTAGTGAAAGCACAAGTTGGGATTTTTTTCTAATAAAGTGGCCAGTGAGGAGGTACAAGGTGGGTGTTTCTAATAAAGTAGCCAGTGAGGAGGTACAAGGTAGATGCTTCTAATAATGTGGCCGATGAATGTTAAGTAAGAATGGCAGTAAATTATAAGAAAAAAGCCAAAGAAAAGTATAAATAGGTATAATAACAGGCCAGTTGTGTAACTGTAACTGTATCAGTCTCTCTGTCTGGCAGCAAGTTGTTTTCTTCAGCTCTCCTCCCTCTCCGCTGGCTCTATCTGCCATTGACCTCTTAATTAAAAAGATAGGGAGTGTGTTTGTGTGGGGTGTGTGAGAGCCGGAGTCTGGGAGGCCACACAGGATCGCAGATAATGTCCACTGCTATCAGGACCTCCAGGGCTACCGATTGTCTCGACCTGCAACAAAGCAGGCATTTGGGCAGACTAAAGCTTCAGCTCCTCTGGCTCTGCTCATGTTGTCTCCGGTTAGCTTTAGTTATTACCACCGCAACGATGCAGAACTTTGAAGGTTCCAGAACCCAGCATAACATAGTGTTCATGCTCTGAAATGCTTCCCAGTGTCTACTTACAAACACAAATGTGGTACAGATCGAAAGCACTTTCATTTTTCATTATTTATTCTTGATGCTCAGCTTCCTTAGATAGTATGGAATCATTCTTAAAGGTGTTCATCATCAAAAATGTCTTAATTTTTAAAGCTTGTCTAGAACTTATGGAATATTAACATAATATTAGAATAATTTCTGCAACAAAGTTGATTTTATAGTATTGAAAACAGTGATTTTGGACATTTTTTAAGAAAAATTTTACTCAGTGTTTTACCCAATTTAGTTATTTTCAGTTCCACCTGCTAGCTAGGTTTGCTAGCAAGCTGGGAGTATGAAGGTGAGCCCAAGTTTCCTCCGAGACATGCAAAGCACCCCCACATCTTCTCAAACTGCTGCTAACGCAACAGCTCAACACGCTTGGAGGAGAGTGCTAACTCCTAATTCTGTTACATTAACTAGCCGGTGCCCATGTTTGCTAGCATCACACTGAGTGATGAGGGGAGTGGGGGGGCTTCTTACCTTTCAGCAGAACTTCTGGACACTAGTGTATGAGTGACAAATAACATGACTTCTAAAGGTTAACCTAGAATGAAATCTGCAGTGTGATGTTACTGTGGGTGCTTTTTTGATGGCATTTAGTTGAGAAGAGTAAATGTAAGTAATATCTGGCAGTAACTGTGACCTCCTCCTTCTGCTAATGTAACACATTCCACATTAACATTCCTCTGCTTGTTGGCTCGCTCGCTCTGTGTCTCTTACTCTCTTGACATCTGGGGCTGATTAGTCGACCTCAGGACAGTAGGGCCTGAAATTGCATTCCTCCTCCTTCCCTCTTTCACTTTCTCCCTCCCTCCCTCATTAGTCTTCTATCCCTCCCCTGCAGCTTCTCTTTCTCTGTAGCAGTTTCATCAGTGTAATCTGGTTTGGCTTGGATGAGGGAGACGGAGAGATGGACAGAAAGACGCCACGACGTTGTAGTGCACATACAGGCAGATGAGCATATTTGTATGCGTGTAGTCCTCGAAGTATCGGCAGTGCCTGGTAGGGGACCTTCCCAGTGCATGACGCCACTCCATCTCCATCCCTCCACTCTGCTCGTATCCATGGCAACTGTAACCGCTGACATCTGTTGCCTAGTAAGCTGCTTGGAAGCAGAGCCTGATTTGCCATGACCAGCTTTCCCTGCCTTTTGGGAGATAAAAAGTCTGTGCCATGTGCCGCATGGGGGAATGATTCTGCCCTTCTGTGACCTCAGTTCTCAGTCTTCTGCCAGAGGTTCCCAATCCTGGTAGCCCTGTCTTGTATATTTTAGTTTGACCAGGTGTGTTAGAGGAGGTAAAATGCTAAAATAAGCAGGGCATGTGTACTCCAGGACCAGGGCTAAGAGCCATGCAAGGCATTTGAAGATTACTTCAATCTTTATCATTATTAGGTTCTCAATTTCTGGGGATTGTGGGTCCTGGGTATTCCCTCCTCTAACGTATCTGACTCAGCTCATCAGTCAATTGTCAAAGACTTCTTGGGCTGATTCAGTTGTGTCAGCGAAGGGAAAATAGGAAAAAGGTACAGTTCTTTGGGGTTCCCAGAACTTGGAAGGGGAACCATTTAATCCAGGTGGAAGATTTCAGTCTGTAAAGTTCTGTCAGTGATGACCACATTACACAATTGTGAAGCCTGTAGGTTTAAGTGCTTTGTAGTCAGAAACATGAAAGATGTTAAGAAGCATGTTTGACCAAAGAATGACTGCCAGCTGGTTCTTTCTTACATGTTACATTTATGCCTACAGATGTGACTTACTTATCCATAGCGACTTACAATTTATTCAAGATACAGATGCAGGCAAATGCAGCCTTGGAAGCCTTGCCCAGGGACTCTTATTGATGTAGCATGGTATGTTTGCCCAGGTGGGAAATCGAACCCCAGTCTGTTGCATATACAGCAGTGATATGTCCATTGAATGAAAAAGTTTCTTATTGTGAGAATGTATGTAATTCAAACAGCGGTACAGATTGTAGGTAAATGCATATGGAATAAACAGTAACTACTACTAGCATGTACCACCTACCACTGACCACTGAAACTCTCTTTTTCTCTGCCGTAATGAAAGGATAAAGGTCAGTAACAAAGTAAACATCATATCTGTAGGTAGGTTAGTAAATTGTTTTAATCGGAAGTGGAAAGATTCCTATAAGTAATTGCAACTTGTAGGGACATTCAGAGGCAACCTTTAGGTTGGTGACTCGTATCTATAATAACTATGAATGGACACAGCAGCAACAAGGCATATTACACAGAGGCGCATACCAGAAATTGAAGTTTCTCAGTGTTCCATTATGTTTGGACTACATATGTTATTCAGGTCCATATGTTCACAAAACACTGTAAAAGATGGAAGCCAGTCAGTCTGCTCTGCTGGAGCTGTCTGTACTGCAGCTTACTGGAGGGTGGGAGGATGGAAAAGCAGGTAGTTGCGGTTGTGAACACCATCCGTCTCTTGGCTTTCTGGAGCATGGCCACTGCAGATGTGCTGCTGGATGATTGAGGGAGGGTGAGGAAGGGTGTAAAACTGGAGTTGAAACAACACTGCCTCTGTTCAGTTAAGCTCCGGAGGTCCCCGTGCCTGCTCGTGTTGTCTCCTGTTAGCATTAGTTATTACCGCCACAAAGATGCAGAACTTGAAGGTTCCAGAACCCAGCATAACATAGTGTTCATGCTCTGAAATGCTTCCCAGTGCCTCAGTTCAGGCACAATGCACTATATTCTTATGAGATGTACAATCTATTCTGTCTCAAATCAAGTGGCTAGGGAGTTGCATGATGCAGACCAGCATGATGCAGACATTACCTTCTTCAAAAACACAAAGTAATCCAGTCATTCTATCAGTTATTTCTGAAAAGTACTAATGTCTAAATTGTAAATAGCTAATAGCTAGCTTAGCAGAGAAAGTTATTAGCTCATTTACCACTATCTTCAAATTAGACTAGTTAAAGATTAAGAAAGACTATGAAAATTGGTAGAACAAGAACTCTTTTATCGACTAGCCCTAGTTTCATTTCACTGCATATTTGAGACTCTTTATCTAACTAATTACAATAGGCAAACAGTTGAGGCTGTACAACCTGAGGAGGGGTCTGCTTACGTAGCCCCCTGAATTACTACAAATATAGCCTATAAGGCACTTTCATGTTGCCAGCCCAGAGTAATCAGCCCAAAATGTTATCGACAGTCTTGACCCTCTCAACTTCCCGCACTTGAATTGTTAGAGAAGTACTTGAGTCATGGTCGGTTCAGTTAATGAAGGCCTTGGTAATTAACCAAAGGATTGAATCATGCAACTTAGAGTAGTTAAACTCTGCAGTTAAACTCTGCAGTTCTCCTAGATTGCAGTTATACAGTCTTGCTTTGGAAATATTTTCTGTTTTAGAGTGGAGTGAAGTGGAGGTCCCTGATGGTCTGACACTCTAATGATCTTACGGTGGTTAAGGATAGGGTCTTTTCAACATGTCAAAATAGTGACGCACTGATGATGCTGTAACTCATCTTCTTTCGGGCTTGCACAAGGACTTAGATTCTCTTAAGCCGAGAAAACTAAAGCCATTTTTCTTTGTTTCCTGTCTAAAAAAGGTGCAACTGTTCTTGGCTGGTTTTTGGTCAGCTTTAAAAGAAAATCTTTAATCCAGTTTCTGATCCCGAATGTAGGACACTAGGTGGCCAATCAGTTACATCACCGGGTCAGTTAACTACCAGTAATTGCACAGTCCAGGACTTAAAACTGGATTCAAGGTCCGGATTTGAAGACCCACCCTATACCAGTAGAAGTAGCTCATCTTTTGTTGTTCCTTTTCATGGCATAGTTAGTAATTGAATTAGATAATGAGAGGAGAAACCACTAGATATTGAACACTTAACTTCTGAAAGACCTGCTTGCCCCCTCAGCGGGCCTGCCATGAATAGTCAGTGGACCTCATTCACCAACCATTCTTAAGAAGAAATTTCTTCTTAAAACAGACTTACGGTTTTCACGAAGATTCTGACATTGACCAAAGTTTTCTTGTTTGGGATTTGTTCTAATCCACATACACTCGAGCACAAAGGTGCGAACAATTGCTTCGTTTAAGAACACATCATAAATCTGACATAGACTTTTAGACTCTTAGAACCTTTCTCAAGAACAAATTTAAGAAAAAACTTAGAAAAGTATTGGTGATGGAGGCCCAGTGTCCCTAACTGACTGAATGACTGACTGACATTTTCTTCCAAAATACAAACAAATTGTGATATTTAAGTTTGTTCCCTGGTTAATGTGTTAGTATATTACATACTTTTGCATACAACTGTGTGTGTGTGTGGGTATTTGTAGTATTAAAAAAAGAGAATATCATTGATTACAGTAATATGCTGCTGTCATTTACAGCCTTGTGAAAATAGTTTTATACTGCATTTGAAATACAGTATGTTATCATTACTGTAAACAAACATGCTGTAAATATTAATTGCAGTAAGTTATTGTGCAATTACAAAGTTATATTTTCATACTGTGGGGTTTCTGATGAAGCTGTGTCTGTGTGTGTGCAGGAACGTGAGCTCAGACGGTGCAGAGGCGCGCAGGAGGCTGCGAGAGTGTGACGGGCTGGTGGACGCTCTGCTCCATGCTCTGCAGTCAGCAGTAGGCAAAAAGGACATGGACAACAAGGTCAGAGTCCACTTCATTTGATTAGACCTGCACATACACACGTGTTTTTTTTTAGATTCAATGCAGTTTTTGATTCTGAGGTCAAGATTCGATTTGGTTTTATAAGCTGTTAAGGCAGACGCATAAAAGTGTCCGTTCTGAATGACCTTATGCGCTCACTCAGGAAAAAAATTGTCCAACGAGATGTGAAGCCTGTTGCAAGTGGGGACACCCACATGATGTTCAGGTTCATGGGGTAATATTTCACATGTTAAAGGTGTTCTTTATAAATAAAAGTTCTCCAATAGAACTCGCAACGTCTGCCACACAGTCTAACAAAATAAACCTCAAAGATCAGAACGCCTAGAATTTATAAGGTCTTCACCAAAGAGCCTACACTCTTAAAAATGATGGTTTCTTAAGGGTTCTTTAGTAAAGAAAATGGTCTATATAGAACCATGTACACTCAAAGAACCATTTGTATGATTAAAGGGTTCTTTATGTCGTGAAAGCGTTCTTCAGGTTGATTGAGAATGTGCTGTAGATGGTTCTATATAGAAACTGTTTGAAAAATGTTCTTTATTGCACCAAAAGGGTTCTTCTCTGTGACGATGTCAAGCATGTAACAATAGAAGAACGCTTTTTGGTGCTATATAGAACCCTTTTTGAAAAGGTTCTGTATAAAACCATAGAAAATACACTGTCCATCAGTCTGAAGAACACTTTCATGATGCAACGAATCCTTTAATCATGCAAGGCATTCTTGAAGTGTTCACGGTTCTATATAGAACCATTTTCTTTACTAAAGAACCTTTGAGGGACGATTTTTTAAGTGGGTAGTTAGTCCTGAAGAACGCCTGCCTTTCATATTGTCATTTTACCTGCTCTTACACACCTGATCCACCTGATCAGCTAGTCATCAAGCCCTTGCTTAGATGGAATGGATGTATTAGAGCAGGTAGAACCCTTAAATGTGCAGGGAAGGGCTTTTCTAGGACCCCGGTACACCTTACCTGTGAAACTTTACCTTTTGGTCCAGTACAGCCTTAGTCAGTTCAATAGACTTTTCTAGCACTTGTACAAGTCAGTAGTTGCATTGTTCCTCTCTCCATCTGTCTCCCAGTCTGTAGAGAACTGTGTGTGCATAATGAGGAACCTGTCCTACCATGTGCACAAAGAGGTCCCGGGGGCTGAGAAGTATCTGGACCCGTCAGCGCTGCAGGCTCCAGGCTCCGCAGGGCCTCAGAGGAAGAAGAAGGACGATGCTGGCTGCTTCGGCGGGAAGAAGGCCAAAGGTCAGTCTCTCAGTCTCCGTCTTGTTTGAGTCCTTTCCTTACACACAATAACAGCAAAAGGAGCGTGTTATTGCAAATAACATAGCTGTGATTTGGTCAGCAAATGGGGCAATTTAACCTGCTTGTGGTTCGAAATCCAGAAGGTTAGTAAAACCCAACACAAGTGAGAAGGTAGGGCTAACAGCAGAACCAGTGACCAAATGCAAAGAGGCTACTGCTCACTGGGCAGATTGCCCTTTTCAGCATTAATTGGTGAGCTGAGCACCACTTAGCATCTCTCTATTGCTGCATCATAGCCAGAGTGAGACCTTAAATGTCCATAGTAGGTAACCTGACTTGAAATCTACACCGAAAAAGTCTTTTGAGATAAACAGACAAATATTAATCATCTGTTACAACACCTCAGCCAACTTTATTAGCCTTGTCATGTCGTAACCTATTTCACCTTGAAGTTTTTAGCTCAGAAACAGGGAGGCTGTGAACAGTCAGTTAGCTGTGTAAATGTGAAAAATATCCAATAACATAATTATTGTTGAGTAAGTTCTATTTCATTAAATCTATATGAGTGTAGTGAAAACTTGAGGTCAGTTTTAGCTTAAATTTGCATGTAGAAAGCCCACTTGCCTGCGATGCCTCCGTGCGACACTTCTCTACAGTGCTTCCCTGCGACGCTTCCTTGTGATGCCTAACTATAACACTTCATTGCAAAGGTGCCCAGCAACATCTCCCTGCGATGCTTTCCTGAGCTGCCTCCCTGTGACGCCTCCCTGCAACATTTCCCCTCAAATAAAATCTTAAAAATAAACCGGGCCAACCCGAATTGCTAAAGCCTAGGTTGGCCCATGTGTTATAAATTGCACATGGCCATAATTCAACTTATTTTCTAGAAAGTTTTTACTTGTTTAAGTACATTTTATCTAGTGAAATTGTCTTATTCAATTAACAGATAACATTGCTTGTTTTAAGAAATAATATAAAAAAATAAGTAAAAATGACTACAAATTATCTTCTTGGGAAAAAAGGAGATAAATATCAGCTGTATTATTGGCTTTCTTCTGGCAAAAAAAGTAGTTCTACCACCAGTGGCGTATTGCAGATGTTGTTGTTACTTAGCAACTGGTAGTTAGGGAAATAATGCAGGTATGGTAAAAAAAATAAATAAATCTTTGCTGTTATCAGATATAATGACACAGGTAGAACACTTTTTCAGCCGATGAGATGTGTGGTTGGAACTAATTGTTGTATAATACCTTTTTGAGAAGAGCTTCAAATCATAAGCAAACAGGAATCAGTGTTAGGGCTGAACGATTAATTGTTTTTATATCAAAATTGCAATTTTTTTTTCCAGATTGCAAGAGCTGTGAGTGACCAGATCGTTTAGCCTTAGTCAGAGGTGAACTTCATCCATTGAGAAGCCTTGAGGAGCCACAATGGCCCTTTCTCATTTGCGTAAAAAAGAGTTCAGATTAGATCACATTTAACGACGTACAAGCTACTCTGCATCTGATTCATGAAACTTTCGTATGATATGGAAAAAAGCAGAGATTTGAGTGCAAATGATGAATCAGTGTCAGTGCGTGAAATCAAGCGCCTGCCTACCAGCACCTCATTTAAATACCGTATATATCCTTTATCCTAATTCATGCAGATGTTTCAGAAGAGAGGCATTATAATGACAGCATTCAGTGGCTCGCAAGCCAACGGTTGTGCTTGTAGCCGCTGTTTGAAGTTGGGCAGTGAGTGCACTGCTCCCCCTACTGACCAAACTTTATAGTGCTAAAATTAACACGACTGGAGAGAATAAAATGTCAAATAAACTAAACATCTAAGTTAACATATTTGAACACTGTCTTATTGCAGCCTCTGCACTAGCTGTTTTTTATTGTTTATTTTTTGAGTGGAGTCAGTAGTATAAAACGAAAGCACAGTGTAAAATGTCTTTAAATGGAATGTGGAATAGCATTTGTTTATACTGATGTGCATGCAAAAGCACATCCACTTTTGTGCTGGGTTGTACTGGGTTGCCGTATGCACACCTTATTAGTATTATTGTTATTTTCTATTTATATTCTTGTTATTGTTATTATGGATGATATTGATTATACTTTTGATTAGTTAACAGCATTTTTTATTTATCTTTTTAACTCTTTGTTAGCTTTGTCTTTGTCATAGCGATAGCTGTTGCATGTCTACAGTGACTCAGAGACAGTTAAATAGGTGCAAGTAGGAATTCACTGATAAAGCTGCGCTGTATGCTTGTGTGGAGCTGGCTGCTCTACTGTGAAGTCGTCTTGAGGCAGTCAGTCCAGCTCTGGTGGGCGTTCTACAGACAGTGCCAGCGGGACCCACTTTTTCCTTGATCCTATTAAAGGTCTATATTAATCCACATGGTCAGAAATGACTTCAGCTAGTGACAAACAGGTGCGGCAGTTCCCAAACGCCTGGAGTCGTGAGTCATAGCATTTAATTAATTCTACCGCTTGAGTGTAAGCGTCGATCCTGCCGTGGCCCTGTCCAAGTCTACAGGGGAGAGCCAATTAAGCTGCCAAAACAACCTAAAACCTCAATGTGTTTAAATCGCACGGCCGCCGATCATGATAGCAGCCCCTGCTGCATGTACACAACAGCTAATGAGGGCTAGTTATCCGTTTAAGGGCCCTGGAGGTACACTTTGAAGGAGCAAAATGACCTACATTTAAACTGCTAAATGCCTCAAATCTCCCTCCACGTGAAGCTTTATGTTTCTGGAGAGCTTTTTATAGCCCTCCCTCTAAAAACAGTCTCCCAGCAATTTGTTACCTGAGTTAAAAAGGGATAATTTGGCCTAAATCTTGACAATTTAATTATTAGCAACAGAGAATAGCATGTGAGCATCTGCTCTGGCTTAGTGCAATTTCAAATGGTTGCATTTGTTTGTTTATTTATATATTTGTTTAGAAAGGTAAATACACATGTTGAGCAGTATTCCAAAGCAGATCTAGCACTCTTAGCTAAAGTTTAACCATGTTAAGTTCAGATTCTATCTTAAGCAGGACTGAAAACAACTTTTCTGGTTAGCATAAACCAAAACATCAAAGATCGAGTTTCCTGTGACTGTCCTAGTACAAGGATTTCGGTATCGTTGTAGTGTGAGGAGAACTTCAAGGTACTCTCTGGAAGCAAAGATGTGACGCTAGCTTTAGCTATAGGTGCCACTATGGGTGTTAAAAAATGTTCTGATCCCATAAAAGATGTTTAATTTTGGTGGAGGAGTGTGGGCATACAGTTTTGTGCAAATTCATGTAATATCCAGTCATTAAATACAAGTTATTCATTTTTCAGCATCAGAAAAAAATGGTCTATCCACTCTTTGCCTTTATTACAGCCTCCATTTTGTTCAAGAGACTCCCTTTCAGAAATCTGCAGGGACATTTTTCCACACCTCCAAAGTTTAGTCTTAGAAGTTGGTTGCATTTTGGAAACTTTCCTTTGGCTTCCCCCCTATAGCTCCTCAAAAATGGCCATGTTTTAGTCATTTTAATCCATTTTAGATTCTCATTAGAAATTTGAAAGCAGCTGAGGTGAGTTTGGGTAGGTGCTTGTCTAAATGTTAGTGTCTCTTTGAAGGGGAACATAATGTCAGTGAGATCTATGGGAGCAGCTTTTGCTGGAAGGACGCAACTGTAGCTGGTTGCTTTTAAGCCTGGAAGGACGGAACAGTGGATTCAATATTATAGTTGGTGTAGGAGGCATACTCACTCCTTGACTTATAAGTAACCTTAGTGACCTGTTTTCACTGGCCATTCACCTTTACTCTAATAAAGAGCACAGTTTTTAATTTGGTTACAAAAGGAGATATATTTACAGAAAAGACTCGGGACACCAAACATGTCTTGGCTGATCAACTATGTTTGGGGTAAGAGGAAATTCACCTTGTTCCTGGAGAACTCTTTAGACTCTGCACCCTCTCCCTGCAGTTTGTTACCTGAATTGAAAGCTTTGCTTACAAAACTCTCGACAGTTGACGAGCTAAGACATAATGCTAATGCGCTTTTCAGGTTGAAAACAGGCCCTGCTTAGGAATGGAGGAAAAGAACCATGTGGTCAGTCAGTGAAAAGGCAGGCAGATCACACTCACACAGCTAGAAGAGCATGGACGACCTGACAAGAGCAGTATTAGTCATTCCCTGGAGAATACATTTGAAGAAACTAAAGAAAACCAATTTTCCTCGCGTGCTCCTGCTTTGCTTATGTAGCTTTAAACTGCTCACTGTCTGCTTTAGGACATGAGCACACATCCGCACACAAACACTCAAATACACATCCCTTTTCACGCCTGTTCTTTCTCTTTGCTTGTTTTTTGGCCGTGCTGCTGCTGCGCTGGCTAACTGTAGAGGAATGGTTTAATCAAGGTGAGTTTCTCTTTCTGCTCCCTTTTTCTTTCTTTATCATATTCTTTCAGTCTAAGTCTCCATTTCTGGTCTGTAAACTCCTGTCCGGGGGGCCATTCTTTGAGACCTTAGCCGTCTATCCATGTGTGTCCATATGTGCGTTCTATTCATTATAACTTGTCTGCTGTTTGCATGTGTCTGTGAGTTGTGCGTAGTTTTTGCCCTGCCCATTGCTTTAATGTACACTTATTAGGGACACCAGACCTGTATCTGCACTCTTTGTCCATTTTATCAGGTCTGCTTACTAAATACACTGAAGAGCCAAAACAATATGTCCACTCACAGATGAAGAGAATAACATTGATCTTCACGTATCCAACAGGTCGACTACAAGAACCAACAGTTTGCCTATCGTCTCACATATTCCAGACCTTGATTGTCTCATCATAGTGGTGCATGTCAAGGTCTGGAATATATGAAACGGTAAGCATACTGTTGGTTCTTGTAGTCGACCTGCTGGATGCTCTGACTCAGTTGAGTGGCCGTAACAATCTGGCCCTTGTCAAAATCGCACAGGTCTTCACTCATCCAACAGTTTGCTTACCATCTCATATATTCCAGACCTTGCCATGCACCACTATGATGAGACAATCAAGGTCTGGAATATGTGAGACGATAGGCAAACTGTTGGTTCTTGTAGTCGACCTGTTGGATACGTGAAGACCAGAACGATTTTGACAATGACCAAATTGTTACGGCCATGGTTTGTGGGTATTCCCAGTCAACAGTGGTACATACCTTTCAAAAATGGTCCAAGCAGGGACAGATCATGACCCAACGAAAGGGTGTTGAGCGCCCAAGGCTCATCGATGCATGAGGGCAACAAAGGTCACAATACACAATGCTTCAAGCGTGGAAAATGCACCTTGGAGCAATGAAAGAAGGTAGTGAGGTTCAAGGTGTTGACCTGGCCTCAAAATTCTCCAGTCCCTTCAGATATTGTGGAGTCTATTCTTGGCACATGGAGGACCAACAGCACATTAGGCAGGTGGTCATAATGTTTAAAAAGTTGTAGTTCTACAATTACAGGTTGTTAGTCATTCTGTTTCTTGGCAAAGTTTGTTAGCCCCCCTTTGGCCCTTTCATGAATGCGCATAAGCCCCACAGGACCTCCACAGATCAGGTATTGTTTAGGTGGCAGATTCTCAGTGACATGGTAGTGACATGATACTGAGTGTTAAACTGGTACAAGTGGATCAGGTACAGCAGTGATGCTGGAGTTTTTAACAATATGTCGCAATACCTACCAACAACACGGCTGAATTTAACATTTGATTTACTAAGGCTGCAGCTTATCACACAGTCTGTGCATAGCCCTGTGCCCTAATAACTGCTCGCTCCTGAGCTGCATGGTCAAAAAGGTGAAATAATGTAGCCATCAACAAGCTTAGACTAGATACATACAAAGCACACAAGCAGAGTGCATCGAATTTGTACCTGAAAATGGCAATAAGGCAAGTCTGTGCCTTTCCACTAGTACACTAAGGTTATTAATCTGTGATCATGCATTTTGCCGTCATTTCCACTGCCAAGTGACCCCGTACTGTACCTGAGTACCCATGCTGAATTTGGTTATCCTTCTTGTTGGTGTACCAAGCATGTTAAGCAGGAATGTACGGGTGGAGCTGGTAATGGTGTAAACCACTGACTGGTCAAATGCAAATGCCAGAATTGCTGTCTGTGACTCTTCACATAAAACCAAATGTTCAGGAAAAGGTAAAGCAGAGTTTGAAGCTTCTGCATTGTTGCTACTGTTCTTTGGGTTTACTGTTAATGCTAGATTTGCATATGAAATCATGTGACCACACAAGCTAAAGAGAACTCCTGTTTCTGTTATATGATGCGATGCGAAACAGGCATAACAGAGTGGACAGTAAGTGTTTAACCTGTAGCAGCACTTCTGTGCCTGATCCACTTGTACCAGAGCAACACTCTCTACGACTGCCGTGCTGAGAATGATCCACCACCCAAATATCTGCTCAGTGGAGTCTTGTGGAGGTCCTGACAATTGAAGAACAGGGTAAAGAGGGGCTAACAAGTAGATGGACTACAGTCTGTAATTGTAGAACTACAAAGTGCACTTATATGGTAAGTGGACCTGACAAAATGGACAATACGCATAGATACGGTAGTACCTAATAAAGTGGCCAGTGAGTATAGTTATGTGTTAGTGGGGCAATATTCATTAGACTACTCTGCTGTAGACATCTCCTCACTCTTACATTATGCATTATTAAGAGGTTGGGGGGGGGGCACTACAAGCCATTAGACTGTAGTGTGAGGAATGTATAGTCATTCTGTGGTGTATCTGCATGTATGTCTGAGATGAACTTGACATTTTCACTCTCCAGAGGTTTTCCTCTACAAAATGACTCTGTCTCTCTTTCTTGTCTTCTATCAGGGAGGAGAAATGGAGAGAATGACAAAAGCTATGACACGCTGGACCTCCCCAAGCGCTCAGAGCCCACTAAAGGTATGTCCAGACCTGGCAGTTAGCATCAGCACATCTCTGACCTTTCCTCGGAGCAGCTGTCACTTCCGTCAGAGCTGCTGGCAGAAGCCGAGGAGTTTTAAACTTCTCAGACTTCCCATCAAATTACTCTCAACCCAAGTGGAGTATATGCATTCCTGTAGAACAGGACTCAGAGGTCAGAATTTTTCCACATGGCCTATACGATCTAATTATGCTTCATCCAAAAATGAGTTCTTTCATAGGTGCTGTTTTTGCTTTAGCAAAAAATTCCTTTCAGCCTAATGAGAATTCCTAGCGCGCAACTCAGTTTTGTCAAAATACATACATTTGGTGTATTAATCAAATTAGATCAGAGTAGTATTTATGTTGTGTAATCAATGTCTTTAGGAATAAACACCTGATTTACAGCCTAAGCAGAAAATTCAGCTGTTTCAACATCGCTGGCTAGATAAGTTCACATCGTAGCCTGCAACTCTAGCTACTGTAAAGGCCTCTACACACCCAAAACAGCTTTTTTTTTTTTTAGTTTCAACACCCCTGGTCAAATTACATGTTATGTTGATTTTCTGTTTTTCATTTTAAGCTGCTTTTGGAGATGCCAGCACCTAACCACATTAAACCTTTTGGGCCAACATTTGGCCAAGTAGATGCTAGGTCACAGCCAATCTGTCATCTTGGCTGTTGTCTTACCAACACCAGAGACAACAGTGATTGATTGAGTGAGGTCTGAAAGTTTGCAAAAATGGACATTGGGTGAAAAAAATTGCCTACAGAAAAATTAAACATACATGAAGGTCTTAACATGACTGAAGTACCGTAATCGCCATATGTGTAAACTGTACACAACCTACAGTATGTTGCACTTCTCATGCTTGTTGAAAGCAAATGAATTCAGATAGTTTGAGAGTTGTTCTGTGCAAACCACCTGTGCTGAGGTTGCACCTATATCTGCAGCTACCACATCAAAGTAAAGGAAGGCTGATGCACACTGATGCAGGTGCAGGCACATGCATGGGCATTTCTGAGGGGCAGGGGGTCAAGGGAAAAACATGAACGTGAAATAAATCCATTGCAACTTTATTTTTAAATGAAACAAGCGTAGTGTTAAGGGAATAAAATACTGCCCAATCAGAGATTTGAACCCCAATCCCCTGTGTACAAGGCTCCGTCTATCCCAGTGGTCACCAACCCTGCTCCTGGATATACCTTCCTGAAGGCTTTAGCTCTAATCCTACTTGACGCCACCTCACCTATCTGACTATTGCCTTTGGAAGTCCTTAATTAGCTAAATGAAGTGTGTTTGGTTGGAGGTGAAGCAGGAGTAGTGACCACTGCTCTGTGCTAGGTCTGTGAGTTATAATTCTTGTATTTGACTATAACTGAAACTTTAACAAGTTATTATCAGCCCTTACTGCCAGTTGTTTGGTTGTTGTTCAAAATAACCACATTATGGAATGTAAATATTTCTTAAACAGACATTGTCAGTGCTTTATTGGTGAGATTTTCTGTACTGTGGTGATGCATGCAGGTCAAAATTACTGAGGGGAAATCTCTACAGAAAGCTTGTTGAACCGAAGCCAACCAACTAACTCTATTCCCAGAGCAAGGCCTCGCCTCGCCTCGCTGAAATAGATTATTATACATGCCAACCAAGAGGTTACTTGTACAGTCTGAGGGCAAAAGGGCAGTGGCTCAAGCCCCCCGGGGTGGATCTGTGCACGTGCCTACGCAAATGAGCCAGGAAATGATTGCAGTAATTAAAGTACTGGACTACTATGAGGGATTTGGTTGTCAGGCCTGGCAAAAGAAGTTGGCCCCAGTTTAGTTTGCCGACTAGTACTATGTTAGTACTCCAGGTTAGGACAAGAAAAATTTCTGAAATAAGCTTTTGTTTATGTATACACACTGCAGGGTGGACCAAAACGTGCTTTGTTTTTAATGCAGCTGATTAAAAACTCTGTGAAGTCTGGGGTGTGGAAGTTTTTTCGGGAAGAGGCTTTGTTTGAAGGCAGATCCTGTGCTTGTAGAGGAAAGGCACTCAAGAAACCTCAGGGAATCACCACATACCACAAAACAATACACCCCCCCCCACCAACCTATTGTCTCTGTGACAAAATACAGCTGTGTTCCTGAGAGAGAAAGTGAAAGTGTTGAGCGGTGGTGTATTTGGGGATGCTGTGATTAGCAATCCCTGCTATAAAAAAACAGTATAGACCAGCATAGCTGGTCACCAGCAAAACTAGAATATGTTGTGTTTTGGATGCTGGTAATGCAGGTCAACCAGCATGACCATGGTGGGTGAGCAGCTAAACTAGCACTAGACCAGCATAAACCATGGAATTCATGCTGGTCTGTGCTGTATTTGTCAGCATCTACCTGCATCTTTTAAACACATCGTGCTACAGGTTTAGCAGTACGAATCAAAGATGGTAAACATGTTTTTGCTGTGGATGACTAGCACACTAGTTCAGACTGATGATAGCATGCTGCTAAACTTTGTTGTAGAGGCTCAGGCACAAGTTGCGTTGAATAGTTTGGCCAAAAATCACGTTTACACAATTTCCCAATTTCTCCGTTACCCCAAAAGTAGTTTATCAGCCAAGTGTCTGAAGTACTTCTTTTTTAGCAGTGTACCTACGAGGCTAATGTAGTGTTAAGCATGTTAGCTTAAGTACTGACAAAAATCCAGACTTCTTCATGGCCACTGCTACCGTTTTTAGCTATGTGGCATGTCAGAAACTTCAACTTTACTTGCTTGAAATGTTTTTGATTTTATGTGTTAACACAACTGTAATATGTCAGTTTTTTCTCATATTTGTGAGTAAGAAAGTGTATTATACTGTACTTTGTGAAAAAAAAGACTGACTGAAAATGAGCGTGTTGCCAATGATAAAGCAGAGATAGTGTGACTGGCTTTGGAACAGCTTTTTTGCGAACTAGACTAACTACCTGATGTTAGCTAGGTCCAGAAACAGTGAAAGTGAATATTTTTCGGACACCCTAACATGTTGGCACACCATCTGAGTACCTTGTGTAGAAGATGACGAGTCCTCATCAGCAGCCGAGACTGTACCGGTTAGCTCTGTTAGCATATTAGCTCATCTGAAGAGGCAGCCTCTATCACTCATCCATCTCCAAAACCTGCTGATTTCCCTCAGGTATTTTTTGAATACTTAAACATGTTTTCAAATGCATTCCTCTTATGTGGTTCTGAATTATGTTGGCCTCCTAACACCACACTATAACCTAAAAAGCCTACAGCCCTGTGTTAATTTCAGCCGATTTTTTTCCTTTCCAGCGTTCAGCTGACCATATGTTCATTAACACGTACGGATACTGAAATATCAGAATTAGTCAGAATACACATCCCTAAACTCAATGCATTTTGAGGCGAGAGTGGGATGATTTAGATGTGCAGTTAGCATGTTGCTAATTGGTGAAGTACAAGCTTTTATTACCTTACAGCTCCAGTGCAAAACTAAAATGGCAAATTTGTAGCTACGTTTGGGGTATAAGGGGAAATTGTGTTCATCTGAATTTTCTTTTCTAAACTGTTCATTATGTTGTTTATATGGGCAGCATAGGAGCTGCAGTAATGTATATGCTTCCTGTTTTTCTATTATCTCTGTCTATCATGTTGTGACGAAACCTCCCAAATAGTAACTTTACAGAAGGAAAAAACTTTGAATGGACGTTAATGAAACAAGATTTCTTTCCAAGCAGCTCTGAGTGTTTCTATTGCTCCATTCAACATGAAATTTTACTCACAAATGGAGATAAAACGTTTTGTTCCGACAGTAACGATATGTCCCTAGCCACATTACTAACTAATGGAAGGTGATTAACGTCAATAGCATTTTCTCACTCTCTGAAATTTGCCACATTAGCTAGTGGGTTCCTTGTTAAACTAGATCACAATTAATTGAGCTGGTTTATGGGGGTAAGCCGATTTTTCCCTTTCAGTGTTTCAGACCTGAGCAAGCAGATGAGTTTAAAGGACTGTGATTAGGGCTTTTCAGAGGCTTGCACCACTAGCCACAGTTACGCTATGCTCATTAATGGGACTCAATTGAAAATAATCTCCAGTCCTGTGTGGTTTGGGAGGTGTTGATTGTGTTGTCGTCAGGGACCGATGCTCATTTAGTGGACACAACTGAAGCACCTCTTGCGTAACACAACTTGTCATGGTGCTCCAGCGGAATTAAATGCTTTCATATTACCAAAATGTTGAACTACAATATTCTGCCAAAGGCTTTTTAGTCTCAGTCCTCTCTTAGCTTGTGCATAAGGGAGGTTGACCTGTATTTCAGGAAAACAGGTTTGAGACAATATCTGCTCTTTTAAAAAGTACCAGATGAACTGAACTGAACTGAATGGGTTCAAATGCTTTGTAGCTTACTGGACCTAAGAATCTTTACAAATTAACAAGGGGGGTTCCTAAGTAGGCCTATGCAAATACCACAACCATCCATGGCCCGAGTCCAACAGAGTCCATGGATGGTCCTTCTTCTTCCTCATCACTCAGCATGATGCTAGCCAACATTAGCATCTGTTAGCTCATGTAAAAGAGTTAGCAGTTCGCATTCTCCTTCACTTGTCATGCTGTGTTAGCAGTGGTTTGAAAAGATGCAGTGGAGCTTCATGTGTCTATGAGGAAGCGTGTACTAGCCTTCACCCTACCAGCATGGTAGAATCGTGTAGAAACCTGAAAATTGGGGAGAACCTAGGTAGAGGATGGGAATTAGCTGTGACTAAATTGGCATTAAAAATTCGTAAAGATACAAAAAATGCCCAAAAAGAAATGGAAAACACAAAAACACAAAAATGAAAATCAACAACAAACAGTTGTAGCAATGCAGCAGTGGTTGATTTGTAGGCCTAATGCTATATAAAATAGCTTTATAAGCTAATCTATAGGTTTGCTGGCACAGAACTACTGTTTATGCTGAGAACAAACTGAAACAAATATCACTGGAAGCCTGCTGTCTTGTCTGGAGGAA